AAACACTTGTCTGTGCTATGCTAAAGATATGCGCGCTGGATTAGAAAATGATGCATGAAATTTGACGAGCGGGGGTCGGACATGTGCGCGAAATAACTTGGGGCAGAGTCCGACTGTGATACCATGTTCAAAAGTATTAAAAAAAAGTTTAAAATTGATAGATTGAGAGAGACCACATATATATAAAGAGCATATAAATCCCGTAGTCGGACGACGTGAGATTTTTTTTAATGATTTGATCGATTCATCACATTTGTGATATCTTTAGGGCTACAAGAGGTTCGTACCACGATAACCGCCTTTCATGGTTGCGGTGAGAAATTTGAGATATCATGTTAAACGTCTCGTGCGAACCCAACGTAGCCATCGATGATGGGAGGAGATTAGAGACATACCCGACCCCCCCCCCCCCCACCTTCAAAGTCGAGTGACGTGGGATTATAGCACATATTCGATGCCGAACGACCTGCTATGCGAGAAAGTATTTCTAATTAAATGATCCATTTTATCTCATTTTTTTATTTTACATCAGATATGGGGTGTTCATACCCTTTGAGCATACAATTAATCTCTATTAGGTAGTCCTCCATCCCACAAATGCCGGGCAATAATTGACGACACGATCCATCAAAACATATCGATATCTTAGCATCTCAGAACTCCAAATGTCTCGGTTCCCCCTATGCTATACGGGTCACGAATCAAAATGTCCGGAAGCACGATTTACATCCAAGATAAGGCACGTTTAAAAGCGTGCAGCAGCTTCACTCTTTTGTCCGAATCTTTCGCGAGTCCCAGCAAGTCGTGAAGATTCATGCCCCATCCCCCAAAAATCGTTCGCATCAGACACCTCATTCGACAAGGACCCGACCTCGACACGACCTCGTCACCAATCTCACCGAGGAATCGTTTGCTGGCTGATTGCGCTCCATTTATGGCCGAAATACAAGTATAAACGACCAATGTAGCTGAGGCGGTGCGCGACCGAAACGTTGTAGTTTTAACGGTTTAAGCTCTCAGGAAAAACGGGCTTGTCTAACATTACGATTAGGTAGCAATCCTGCTTTTTTCTCCTTTGGGATTAATTTTAGGGAAAAAAGCCACAAAAAAAGTCATATACCATGACACATTCATCCTAAATTTTTTCTTATGACATAAAAAACCCCAAACTTGTACCTATGTGACATATTTACCCTCCACTAAAGTTTCGTTAGATGATTCATCAGCCAAAACGACATCATTTTTTTCACTTAAGTCATGCGAGCGATATATTAACACCGTTTACTTTCCGGCGTCCATGTAGGCACATTTTTAACGATTGTCTATAACATTAAATTTGACGGAAGGTAAATGTGTCATACATGCACAAGTTTGAGATTTTTAAAGACACGGAAAAAAGTTTTAGGGTAAATATGTCAAGTGGGCGGCATAATTTAGGGTTTTTGGTGCCTTTGGCCATTTGTTCTATATATAAAATTGAGGGAAAAAAAAGGGAGAAAGAAAATTGACGGATTTTATTTTACAAAGTGGTCACCACTTTGAAAGACTTTCAAAATGCTCGTTAAAAGAGGGGATCTGTACCTGGACCATTCTCACATTTAAATCATTAAAATAAATAAACGTGGCAATAAAGCTTGCTTAAAGATGTGTTTTGCATATAAAATGCCCCTGGTGTCTCTTTCCCAGGTCCTTGTCGTGAACACAAAACCAGAGAAAACATGGTCCATAACCATACAAACATCCTTGTCATCGTTCAACGACGGGAATTGATCAATCCTGTCAATGCCCTCTCGCTTCGGACTCCCGGTCGAGCTTAGAACTTCTGAAACCACTTTCACACACGCGGGCTCCAATCTTTGTTGCTTCTCTATTCCCCCGATTTGTCATTTTTTTTTTTTGTCCTTTTGATGCGCTCTTCGATCGACCCGCATTTCGCGTTCGTAGTACCTAGTGTGATTTTGAATAGAGTGCGATGAGAAAGTGAAGGGTTTCGTCGCATCTGTCGGCGCGTCGACGGAGGAAAAGCACCCACCGGCTAAGAGGGTTTCGTGCGGGAGGAGGATCCGCGCTGTTAAAAGATAGTTTTTGGGGAAAGATTCTAGATTCGTTGCGTAAAAACTCCATCTAGCAACTAAAGTTTACATGTTGGAATTTTTGGAGTGCACGAGAAAGAATGATTATGAAAGATCGTAGGGAAAAGTTCCGAAATAGTCTCAAATCTATTGCATTGGTACCAATTCAATCATAAACCTTTCAATTGAATCAATTTAATCCTAAACATTTTAACATTAGAACTAATGCAGTCCATCCGACTAATTTAGGTCGGAAATTGCTGATCACTTGAACGCCAGTGGTCCTATGTGGCACAACCGGCGTTGACGTGGACAAATTATATATTTCAATATTTTTTTCTGTTTTCTTTCTTTCTTTTTTCTTTTTCTTCACCCTCTTGGCCAGCGACCTCGCCGGCCAATCATTGTTGGCCACAGGCTAGTTGGGGTTAGGGCTGCCGCGCCCTCGCCGGCCACAAGCTAGTATGGGCAAGGGCTGAAACCCCCGCCTATTTGCCAACGAGGGTGCATAGGCCCTCACTCGTGGCAAGCGAGTCACCGACCACAGGCTGGTTTGGGAGAGGGCTGCCGCACCCTCGCCGGCCACAAGCTAGTATGGGCAAGGGCTGAAACCCTTGCCTGTTGGCCAATGAGGGTGCATAGGCCCACGCTCGTGGCGAGCAAGTCACCGGTCACAGACTGGTTTGGGCAAGGGTTGCCACGCCCTCGCCGACCACAAGCTAGTATGGGCAAGGGCCAAAACCCTTGCCTGTTGGCCAACGAGGGTGCATAGGCCTTCGCTCATGGCGGGCGAGGGCTCAACGCCCTCGCCTGTGGCCGGTGAGGGTTGTCGACCCTTGCTCGTGGCCATCAACCTTGTACGGCCAACAGTGTAAAGAAAAAGAAATAAAATAAAATAAAATAAATTCTGAAGAAATGTTAAAATATTATAAATTTTGTCCACGTCAAGCACCGGTCGCACCACGTAGTATCGCCGGCATCCACGTCAGTGATTTCCGGCCTAAATTGACCGAATGGACTGAATCGGTACCAATGTGAAAATGTTTAGGACTAAATTGATCATATTGAAAGTTTTATGATCGAATTGGTACCAATGCAATAGATTTGAGACTTCTTTTGGTACTTTTCCCAAGATCGCATGACGTGGATGGGGAACCTCTGTTCTCTCTTATTAGATCTCGACCCGTGTCGATTGCTAATGGTCGAGATCTCGCGAATGTGCCAAAAATTCATACGCGACAAGGAGATTAGGATCTCGATCGGATTTCATACACACGTAAGTCGTCGGTGCTTTGAGGATCAAGTGAGTCTGGAAGTGCCCGAGGATCCATTTCATCTGTCCCAGAAAGTGCACGAGGACCCATTGAAAATCAAACGAGCGTGAAAATCAAATGTGATCACTTTTTCAATAGTAGTTCTCGATTTTCCAGTGCCTCGCGGAAATTTAGAAGAGTCAATACCAACTTTTCAAACGTTGGCCCAAAAAAACAGAAAAAACGAAGGGAACAAGTTTCCAAAAGGAAGGTTCTCGGCAGGAACCTATTGCTAACTTGCTACATTAAGTAGAAGTATAATATTCCAATTGGTCATCCTACATTCTTGACCAGCTCCCTCCTATAATCAAAGCTCTCAAAAAGATAAAATATATAATCGATCTCCAATTACAATGGTCTCTCACCATCACCGGAACTCGAACAGGCGATGGCGTTTTCTGCAAATTAGTTCAAATCATGTAAGGTCGCGGAATTAAATAATGGATAATAATAGCTGGTAAGGGCCATCCTAATCCGGACCAACCATCACGGATTAAATATTTGATGGTGGTTGCGTGCATGAAAATTTTCAAGTGCTAAATAGTACACAGTCAACTCGATGCTTTGACACCCCCCCCCCCCCATCCCTCTGTCCAAAAGGGGAACCAAATTAGATTACGCAAGGAATAATCACGAAATTATGTTTTGGAGCGTGTAGTGGTAAAATTGGGGAGGGGGGGCATCTTGGTCCGCCTTTGAATGTCATATCATACCATAAAATAAAATTAAAAAAAAAATTTAATGGAGATTTAGAATTAAATGGGAAAATTATGCGCTGTAAAAGTTTTGATTCATGCCATAAGAGACTATAAAAGAAAATTTTAAAAGAGAGAGAGAGAGAGAATAGTCCTCTCTTAAATTACAACTCAAATGGACACTCCGGCATGTTCATATTTCTAACATACTCGAGAACTTTAGCCACGAGCATCGTCACACACATTAGTAGGCTAGCTAGCGGCGACCCGCCTCGCGCGCTCGGTCCCTCCATTGTTCATCGAGATTTACACGATGAGGGCTCCCGGATGCCCTAGCGACGGGATTTGAGTGACTCAAATTGGGCGGGAACTTAGAAGTCAAAGGAGACGGCAAAGAAAGATGCGAATCGTTCGGAGCTCACAGAGAGAATCGATTACAGTATCGAGCGCAGACGACATAATAACATCCATACGGCTAAACTCGCGGCAACAACTTCTCTTGGACCTCGTCCCCTCGACTCGCATCTGTCTCTCCCTTGATCCAATTGCCGATCCATGGCTGTCCCACCGTGGTTGGAACAGGGCAATCCGAGGGCGTCATGGGGACGGGGGACAACCGCTGCCTAGAACATGTTAAAAACTCTCGCGCAAAAAAAAGGAAGGAAGAGAAATTAAAATGGAGAAGAGAGAGATCTCAATGAGGTCATCCAGAAGTGAGGTCGTTTCTAGATGAATAATAGCTAGCACCTTTCGATTTCTGCCGATATTTTTTTTTGTTCTCTCTGTGGTCCAACCCCGCCGCCGTGCGTCATTTGACTCACGTGCTCAATGTGTCCACTTCTCTTTATTGCTACAACACCAAGACATCCCTCCTTACCCGAAAAACCTCTCCTTTCAATCCCCTGTTTTCCATCATTTCTTTTATCTCTCCTTTGTCTCCGTCTCTTATCCTCTTATCGAATTATCAATCCCCCTCCCCTTCGCTTTGTATATATAAATCCCCACCTAATTCATTACCCCATTTCCAATTTTCCCTCGAGCATTGAATCCCACCCAGCTCTCGAGACCCTTCGCAACTGATACAGAGCCAAAGAAAACAGAGCAAAAACAGAGCATTCCTCCACCGTGATGCAATCTTGCTTCTTCCAATACCAACCCCAGGAGTTCTCACCCGAGAATTCCTCGAACTACGGAACGTTCAGCCACGATATGCTCCCCTTCAACTTCAACGACTCCGAAGAGATGCTCCTCCTCGACCTCCTCGCCTCGGGGGTGAAGGAGTCCTCGGACTCTCTCTCCTCCAATGGCTCCAAATTCAAAGAAGAAGAAGTCACTTCCAGCACCTGCAGCACCAACGACTCGCAGCAGCCGCAGCAAGAGGCCAATGCGAAGCACCAGGAGAAGGAGAAGTCGTACCGAGGGGTAAGGAAGCGGCCATGGGGGAAGTACGCGGCGGAGATTAGGGACTCGACGAGGCACGGGATCAGGGTCTGGCTTGGGACGTTTGACAGCCCCGAGGCGGCGGCGCTGGCATACGACCAGGCGGCCTTCTCGATGAGGGGGTCGATGGCGGTGCTGAACTTCCCGGTGGAGAGAGTGAGGGAGTCCCTTCGGGAGATGAAGTACTCCTGCGAGGAAGGGTGCTCGCCGGTAGTGGCGCTCAAGCGGAGGCACTGCATGAGGAGGAAGTCGGCATCGTCGGCCGCGGCGGCGAGGAAGAGGAGGGAGAAGGAGGCGCCCGCCGCGTCGGCCCCGAACCTGGTGGTGTTCGAGGATTTGGGGGCAGAGTACTTGGAGGAATTGCTTAGCACGTCCGAGAGCAATGACTTTGCTGCCAGCAGTCACTGGTGAATTGTTAAAAGCAGAGGAGCTCCGGCTGCCGCTTCAGCTTCAGGGGATTCTTTGTTTGATTTTCTGGTTCTTTCATTTCTTCTTTCCTCTCTCTTCTCTGTTTTTATTTTTTCTGTATTTTCTTTTTCTTCGGTTTTTTTTTGGGTTGGGTTTTTGCTAGAATATTGGGGAGCAATGGCAAAAAAAAAAAAATCTGAAAAAAAGAAACAAATTGTTTGTCATGCATAAGTCAGGTGTAATTTAGACTTTTTTTTTTTCTGATTTCATCTCGTGAAGCCAAAATCGGTGGATTGTAAAAGTTTCGGAAATTCACCTTTTCACTTTAGATGCAGTATGCTTGCGTTTTTTGCCCCCGAGCAAAAGGTGGTGCTTTTATCGATCCTCGCTGAAGCTCGACAGTTCCGACGTCCTACTTATGTTAAAACTTCTGAGATCGGTCTCGGGCAAATGCATCAATACGAATAATTCGAATCCCATATACCGATCGGGAAAGAAAAAAAAATTAGGGTCATCGCTTTCACGTCCGACGCGATATTATGGAACGTGGTATATGACCGCATCATGCTTAACCTTAATTTAATCGAAAGTCGGTATATTCTACCCATTGATCTTCCACGATTTCATATAGTTGCTATATTTGGCGTTTAAGAAAAGCTTCTTTACACAAGTTGACTCGGAGATTATTGGTCTGGTCGCCCATGGTGCGATACCGAAAGAATGATTTATTTTACATCATCATGTCGATCCCCCCCCCCCCCCCCCCCCAGTTTGATTTCTCTTGGGTCCTTTGTCTTTGCTAGTTTGCCACTTTGTGCTACCCCGCCTAACCATATGTGACCTCGTTTCTTATAATAACATGTGCTAGATCTCGTGACGACGAGTAGATCTTGTTGGGCCGCACGATGTTGCGTTTGTCGATTATTGTCGCCGGTGCGATTCCCGATTCATCGGGCTTGTGCGGAAGTTTCGTTAATTCGCGATTCGGATGCGACTGCTGATGATGAATTTCTGAAGAAGTTGAAGGAAAGGAAGGAAGAAGTGGGAAAGGCGAGTTTGAGAATGGAAGTCATTGCATTGTTCGATGAATGGGCCGCAACTTATGAAAGCTATTTCAATATTGTGCTCATTTGAGGTCATTTTAGGCCACCAAACTCAAGTTTTCCAATGTTTGGGGCTTATGCTTTGGCCCAAATTTTTTGTTTACTTGATTGATTCCGAAATTTTGCTTTCGATTTAGGGTTAATTGCGTTGGTTTATGGTTTTCTACGGTTGGACCCTATTCATTTTAGGGTTTTGTTACCAAACACCTAGATAAAATGAAGATTGCAGGTTTCAATTCAATTTATTGTTGTTGTTGTCGTGTAATGTGTAAACGGTGTCTTGATCATCCAAAAAGTTCCTGATTAAGTATATATGGACACTCGTTTACGAGACCAATCTATTTATCATGCAGAGATCGTTATTTTGAGAATAGTAAGAAAAGGTGGGACTTTCTCTTTGTACTTAGTGTTTGACACATGTTTTGTGATATATTTAGAGCTTTTCACTTTGCTCGTCTTTGCACTTTGCACTTCAATTGAATAAAGCTAAAGCTATGTTTGGTTCACGGAAAATGAATGATTCTGAAAAACATATTTGTAAAGATGATCTCGATTACAAAAATGAATGAACGAAAAGAAAAACTCAAATTCCACGGAAATATTTAGACAAAAATTATTGTCGATAATGAAAATATTTTTCATTGGATTTCAAGATAAACAAGCGATCATTTTTAGAAAAATATTTTCCAAATCATTTATTTTCCGCGAAACAAGCGGAGCCTAAGTGGCACTTTTGTTTTCTCTCTCTCCATGAATTCATATTGTGAAATTTAGGGATAAGGTTTAATTGGGAAATTTGGGGCTTTTGGGCAAATTTAGGGCACCCATGGGTGGCAATGCGATTTCATGCATTTTGAGATGGAAATTCCCGGTATCAGGCATGAACCGGTCACGCGACTCGCCCGTGTTCGTCGTTCAGCCAACATTTTGGCTGCTGCTGATTGATTCGGGGTCATTTGAAATCGGTTTCGCCAATTTCAGGAAGTATTCTGGAAAAACCTCTATCTAGTCTAGGGAGAACTTTGAGTAATCGCACTGATTTGAAGGAGGATTTTGCCAAAGAAGATGCTGCAAAGCTCAACGGTTTTCAGATTAGTCATGTTTACCATGTCCTAACCGGGTAAAGGGGATTTAGATGACGGACGGCCATTTCAAAAAGGCAAAAAGAAAAAATCGTTCACAAATCATGTTTTTCTAAATTCCGACGAAGCATATTTGTTCCTTGTGATTTATTAAGACTCGTATCCGGAATTGCCACAGAATCTATCTTCTCTTAATATAACTGAAGAGCTAATTTCGATGACAGGTATTTCGTTGATGGACCAGTTTCAGCGAAACAAAAGAAGTTGTTCGTGAATCATGTTTCGCTAAATATAGCTTCGCCGTTGCCCTAGCCCATTTCTATTGGGGGGGCCAGGCCAGACTCAAATGAATAATGTGCGATGTGTACAGCTCTGCAAGCCCAAAATCTGTGCTATAAATTCGAAAATCCCTAGAAATATGATGTCAAATCAACATTTTAAGGCGTGGCGATGATTGATGTCAATCAAATTAGTGTAAGATTAAGTTTTGATTGTCAATTAGTTGGAATGTGTAATATATGCTTGTACAGCTCGCATGTGACCACCACAACCAAACAATTTGAGTGCAACCGTCTAGTGTTAGCGCAGTGAGTTAGGGCGTCGGAGTATTTCCAGGTCAAGAGCTGAAGGTCTGTACATGCCAAAAGCCTACGCTTAATCGATTCATAAAACTTGCAAGGTTTTTCATGGGTTCCCAGATAGACGGGTCTCCTCATCTCTACTCCTATATCATAAAAAGAAAATGGACGAAACAATTTGGATGTAAAAAAGTTTCGGGGGTACATTCTTTGCAGAATAGTCATCGTAAATCACGAGAACTAAACGCAATAAACATTATATATATATATATATATATATATATATATATATATATATATATATAAAAGGGCAATCCTAATGTTAATCTTCCTATGCCATATCCTTTTTATTATTTTTTTTGCAAGTTCGAATATTTGTTGAAGCCCTATGTCATGAACTAGCTACATTTCTATGAAACTATTAAGTAATGATAGGAACTACTCGTCTGTTTCACAAAATCAAAATGTAGTCGACTTAGATGTATTTAATATATTAATGTTGTATACCGATCTTAATTACCTAATATTATGCAAATCTATGAGTTCGTCGATCTCTATGGATATCTAAACAAAGCAAGAGTTGACAAAAGAAATTTTATGAAAAACTTCAAAAACCTTCATCAGTTTGATTATCCTAACAATTTGCATCCTCACTTTTCGAAACTTGCAATATGTACCTCTAAACAAAACTCCAAAGCTTAAAAAACTCATTTGCCCTGTTTTATATATGAAACCACAAAAAAAAAAAAAACCCAAAACCGACCGATGTGTTCACAGCCACCCCACCGCCCATCGACATGCTGCCCACAGCTGCCGCCACAGGGACTAGTACCACGTCAACCACCACCATTCTCCCACTCTCTCGAGCTTTTGCACAGGGCCAGAAAGCTCGAGGCTATGGCGAGCTACAGGGCTGCGGCATCGAGCTCAGCCCCCATGTCGAGATCGAGCTGACTTTGATACGAGCTGTCACATGACACAAGATGTAGGTTTTTAAAAGTGAGAAAGTAAATTAATGCATTGGCACAAAAATGAGGATGGTAATTGAAGTTTTCTCGATAACTTAATCACTTAAAGCCGATCCTCCACGTTCATAAAATAGTAATTTTCAATGGACGCAACTTACATACGATCTCCCAAAGTGGTAAAAGAAGGATGGTATGAACTTTCTTTTGCTCATTTCGTTCTCCTTTTAAATGAAACAACCACATGATTATAGACTGCACTTAGCTGTGGCCTGGCCATAATGTCTATCAGTGTACAGAGTTCACGATTGTGAAATCAACAGGTCACATAATTGTTGTTGGATATGACATTTTCTTCTCACTAGTGGCGTCGGTCCACCAGCTATATGGAGGATTTCTACCACTGTGCTAGGCATTTCTCTGGAGCTATAGCTTTCATCATCTAGTATGAATCCATGATTTTTGTTTGGGAGTTGGCAAAATATCCCCCAAAAACTCGAAGCTTTACACCTTTTTATTGAAAATACTTTGAACTAGAATGATTACCGAAGCGACCCGTAAGAGTTCCAGCGATAAGACACCGGCATGGCGGTTGACACACAGAATTAGGTTTTGACGTGAACGCCATGGAATACTGGTGCATCAGCCATATCAACCGGTTGCCTAAAAAATATCTATTACTCAGTAAAGATTACTCCATAAGCCATGGTTCCTCAGAAAATGAGGGTCATCATGTTTCTAACCCATGAAAATGAGGACAAATCAACCCTTTTCTTCTGTAGCCGGAGACATCACTACCATGTTCTCTCCTCCCCTCTTATCAATATGATGGCCCTTTTCAAGTTTTGACCTGAAAACAGGACGAATCCTTTGTGTAGGTCCGGTCCTGTTAGAATAAAACGGTCTTCTATGTTTCGCAGACAACATAATACACACTTTGAGTTGCTTTTCCTAATCTGAATTCCTAAGGATGAGATTAGGTCACCATGAGATGATGATGTTTGTCCAAAATTTACAACTATATACAGCGGTTTCGTCAATTAATGTTCTCGTTGTAAGTTGCAACATAGTATCCGCTGGACTACATGTCTCTGACGAACTCCTTTGGCCGCAATGGCGAACGCAGATATCTAGCTTATCAGGGACCAGATTAAAAACAAATATATACAATACCTCGTTCCGGGGCATGATACAAGAACTTTGTCTGAATATTGATAGATTAAGGAACATACATTTAGTAAAAACTGCATCAAGTACTGATAGGAATTTGTACACCGTTGTTTGGTGGGGCCTTTTCAAAGGCTCAACTTCCGAAAGGTACAAGATATCTAGAACTCTCTCGACAATGATCCCTGGTAAGTACATAAAAGATCCTATGATCACCTCCAAGCAATATCTGAATATCCTAATCTTAATATCCACTAATCAAGTTATCGACACAAACCA